GGCTTTCTTTTTCCTTGAAACACACACAGTAAGTTTGTTCGCAACACATTTATCAGATAATGTACTATGTATACACAAATGTATTCATTGAGCAAGGATGTCAGCAGATACCATAGTTACAGTACATGCAGTATAAGTTTAAACATACAAATAATTACAAATATGTTTTTTTTACACACATCTTTAGTCGTAAGGCAGGACGAGGTCAGAACAACACACGTACTGTGGGAGGGAACATGCTGCAGTTGTATGGCTGTACCATGAATCATAAGAATTATATTACAGGCATTGTTATGCATATTTGTCCATGGTGTGGCGCATCTATATCCCCCATTAACCATAATTACTTTTATACATGCAAAGTATGAATTATTAACATACGTGTAATCGCAATGATTAATCACCCATGTGCAACAGCCGCTTCAGACCTCCTCTTGATGACTCACAAGGACGTAAACAATTACACTGTTTGCCCCGTCCGCCATTGTAATGCTCCGTGGCTTGTCGTTGATTCATTATTCATACTTAAGGCATTATTATTCCATTGTATGCTGTGCAAAATGGGATCATTAGCGCCTAATATTAGAATGTGAAAAGTGGAAAATATTGGGGGGAAACGGTGGTGGATATAGTGGGTAGGAAACCCCAAACAATCCAGACTATTAGCAGATAAAGAATGGTAATTTCCCTAGAAGTAATTAGGATTAGCATAATTTGACGGCGCATGAATGATGCATGGGTGATTGATACGTCGATGCACGTACTGTAATGAGTCCCTTATCTCCACTCTTCACTGAATACTTTTGTGTAGAGCCTAGCCCGAGGTGGCATCTACTGTAGTTCTACACCTCTGAAGGGAACATCCTGCATCACACACACACATTCATACAAACCAGTCAATGGGGCTTCAGGAGAGTAGAAGCAGAGATAGCATAATATCATCCTGTACAGTAGTAACTGATTGAAGATGGTACTTTTATCTTGACAGGCTCCATGTTGTAGCCAGACCAGGAAATATGATATGGCAGCTCATGTTCTCTTTATCCCTCTCACATGTGTGTGTGTGCTTGTGTGTCATCCTGCCAGAGTGTGTGTGTGTGTGTGTGTGTGTGTGTGTGTGTGTGTGTGTGTGTGTGTGTGTGTGTGTGTGTGTGTGTGTGTGTGTGTACACATTAGTGTGCAGCTACACAGTATTATCAGCAACCGCGTGTGCAGTCAGTCACTTTGAGCTGCTTTTAAGTGACAGCTATCGATTGGATGTTGGTGTTGTTGCAGAGGCTTCAAAGCAACACCTTGCCCTCTGCATCCCACTTGAGATGGTAACTCTAGAGTACCTGCTTTGTAAGAGTACAGCGTGTATTCTGCTTCAGAAACAGTCTCCTGCACGCATCTGTGTGTAGTTGTGTGTGTGTGTTGTTTAAAAGGGTGAGATGCGATGTTGTCTCGACCCTGTTACTTCTACAAAACAAAATAAATGTTTTCTTCTGCACAATTTCTAACCAACATGAAAACTATAATTATAAAAAAAACATTTTCTCACTCTCACCACAGATAGTATTCAGATATGCTTACTTGGCCAGGTAGTATTATCTTTATTTATACAATAACACGTGTAGTGTCTCTCCTAAGAACAATTGCCAAATCCAATCTAACTTTATATATAGAGCCCATTTAAAAACAACAGAGTTGACCAAAGTGCTGTTTATTTTGACAAAACCGACTCTATCCCTGGTCCATTTACATAAAAAAAGAAAAGGTGCAATATGTACCATCATTATCAAAAGCATTCATATCTCATACAAATATTCTGACTTTCCAATAACCTCCACAAGCATTCTGCCTGATCAGCACATACACACTCACACTGTCTCCTTGTCCCTTGGTTATTTTTTTTCCAACAAAACAAGCCTTTAACAGTTTTACCCTTTGACTACAGATCAGCATCAACCTTATAGGATCATTATGCATGTATCGGCTCTAATAACTGCACAGGGGAGGAGCCAACTGGATCTGTTCTGCAGGCAACTGACAATTGCCAATGCAGTGTGCTGACCCTAAAATAGCCCCCTTCCTCTCTCAGCATTTCCTTTTTATATTTGCCCTTTCTCCCCCTCTCTTCCTCTCTTCCACCCCCTCCACTCTTTCTCCATTCAGAGCTGTCTGAATATAGGTCAGCATTCTCTAAAATCCTTATCCTTTTGAAAGTTTTACGAGTGCACTCCATGTGGGAGCGGGTTGAATATTAAATTTGTAATTTGGAGTCCCAGGTATCTACCATTAGAATATTCTGATTATTAAAGAGAAGCAGCCATTGCTCAGAGGGACTTGGTACAAATCTCTATGGTTCTCTTAATGTGCTTTTAATATGTTCTTAAATCTAAAGATAATGCTTTAGCTGTCTTAATTGTGTTTAAAAAGGGTTAGATTACCCACATTCTAAAAAAGCATTTACCTCTGGTGGTAAATAGCCAAGCAGGGAGTTTTCTTTTATTCATTATTTTTGAAAGATCCATCTCTGAGTTGTCTACTTCCATCTCAGAGCAGCTCAGGAAAATGGAATTTTGTTTTTGGCTCACTTTAAAACTGCCTTGAAAGATTCAACAGAAAAGTGTCTTCCCAAAAACAGTAGGCCTGTCCAACTCCGCCTGTGAACAGAGGAGTGAAGAAATAAAGAGAAAATCCTGGATATAAAATGAGTTTTCTAAAAGGTGCCACTTAGCATTAAAACATGGGGTGAATCATATGCTATAGGCTTCACGATCCCAACCTAACTATAACCTATGGGAGGTTTTGGAGGAAAGGGGTACAGGAAATGAGAAGACAGCATCTTCAAACCTAACTGTTCTTGTCTGCTACCGTCAGAAATTGGCTCAAAGAGGAGTTTATGGAAAATAACAGCAATGTTTTTTTAATATATTCAATATAAGGCAATTGTTTGGTAAAGCTTAACATGTGGCCTTACTCAAATGTTCTAGATTATTTTTGAAGACAACACCAAATAACATCTTTGCATATGGATTGTCCTTTACACAGAACTCCAGCATCATATCAATTATTAAATAAATACAATTAATTTAGTGTTTTACCTTCGGTAGAGTTCCACCAACTTAACATTAACTACCAAGGCATAGTAAAGTTGTTACAGTAGTTCTGGAGGCCCCACATCTTACAAATACAATTGATGTTGGTAGTTTGTCATCAACCTGTAGTCTCAGGAAATGGTTCATAGTGTGGTCGGTGAATTAGCCACAGGTACATGGAGACTGTCTCGGAAAAGACACACTGCTTTTATTTCACCGCACCAAAATTCAATTTACATTCTTTGTATTATCGTGAAGGCAGACATCTCAGTAGCTAAAAACCTGGCCAAAAAAATCCATTAAAATATCTGCATGGATACCACACAACAAGGGACAAAAGTATGCTTTGTTTTAAAAAACAAATGGTGAATCAAGTTTTTCTTTTGTTTAAGTTATCAAATAACAACTAGCAAAATGTAACCTTGTAAGAAAAATGATCAATCAATACATTCTACTTTTTGTCTGCTTTAAGAAATCATTAATTTTTAAACCAAGGCTACATTTCTCTGACTATCGCCTGTATTTGAATCCTTTTGCTCTGGCTCTTCATATTTCCACAATTAAAGACCCACCCCTCTCAGCCCCACTCTAACAGCTGGCCATTAATCAGTCCTTGCACTCGATTTCTCCTCCGCCACAGGTTATGATTTTCACATTACTCCACACTCCTTCACCTCCACCCGACAGGAAAATGACCACAACCCCCCACCACCACACAGACACACACCTCGAATCTCTCGGAAAGTGAGATGTTGGTATGAGAGAAACGCATGGTGAGCCCATAAGGTGTTACGCGGTTGTGTGAATGCTCATACGGGTGTTAAGACATAAACGCTCCTAACACGATGGGGGAAACCACGACGGCGAGTCTGCCCCTACCTCACACCCATTATCCTTTTCTAATTACACTTTCCCTCTGAAACAGTGGATCATAGGGCACCATTGACTGCTTTTAATCCCCCACCAAATTTTAATTAACACAGACGTGACCCCCGTCTCCGATACATCCCGGGGAACGTCGGGATCACAATAACTCATAAATCACAGCCACAGATTTCATTCCCTACGCTTTCCTCGGGTGATGAATTTCCAGATGGGGGCTGGTGCTTGTTAATGTCAGGGAAAATATGAGGGAGAGAGACATTGTGACTGTATTGGAGACAGAGAGAGACGGAGACAGAGGGAAGGTGGACAGAGTGAGTGTTTATTCGTAGGAGAAATGGATTTGAGAGAGACAAAGAGAAATGGCAGCATTTCTGTTGTGCCGTCAACCTTTGAGAGATTTGTCACCGGGGAGAGGATTATAACGGATGTGAAATGGGGCTGTGTTAATGCGCCGGGTGTTGGGGAACGCGAGGTGGGCAGTCTCTGAAAATCAAAAAAGCTGAACAAGAGAAAACTCTCTGAAGAATTAATTGATTGTTTACACGTGTGTAATATTTCATTAAACATGGAATATAAATGATGGACTTTAATGATATGTTTATGAATCTGTCTTCTCAATGGAATTACACCAGTGATGTTCTGGTTCTCAATGTGCCCGGCGCCCAGTGCATGTGTGTTTCATGTTTGTGCAGAAGTGTGTTTATCTGTGTTGGCGTTTGCATATGTGTGTCAGTGTATGCGTGGAGTTAGAGGTGGGCAGGGTGCCGGGGTTTGTTATTACAAAATCGCTCATCCATGCTACTAATTAAGATGCATAGCTTCCCCCTATGAACGTCACTGTCGCTAATTATCAAACAATGTAGTGCTCACTAGATATGAGAACTGGCAGCCTCTGTAGTCATGTTACCAACCTATTACTGCTACAATTACCAAGTGCCTGTCATTCTCCTTGTTAGTCATCTGCCTATTTTTTTTTGTACTAATGCCTGTCTTTTCTTCTTCTGTCTGCTTCTCCCTTTCTTCTTTTCTCTGCAGGCTATGGCTTTGTGGATTTTGACAGCCCAGGTGCAGCACAGAAGGCCGTGTCATCTCTCAAAGCCACCGGGGTGCAGGCCCAAATGGCCAAGGTAAGAAGTGTTTAAAAACAAGTTGGCATCCCCACTTCCTCCTGCATTATCATGAGCACTTTGCTGCGTGTTCAGCTCCATCCAGGGATTTAATATCGTACACCTTACACGCTTAATAGACATTGATGGATCTGAAAGCCCTGCAAAACTGGTTTTATCCATAAACACGGTTTTATAGAAAGTAATTTTCCGCAGTTCTTTGCTGTTTAATGACAAACTTGTTCGCTCTAATATAAGAGGACTCTTGGATGTGGGCTTGTAACTGCGTATGGTTGACTATATGGGAGGGCCACTGGAGTGCATGCAGGTCTGTTTCATTTTACTGACACTTGCACTGTAGTCTCATACAGCGACTATGTTTTTACATGTGGTTGCATGACTCAAGTGGTTACGTGGACTTAGTGAGGTGTGTGTGTGTGTGTGTGTGTGTGTGTGTGTGTGTGTGTGTGTGTGTGTGTGTGTGTGTGTGTGTGTGTGTGTGTGTGTGTGTGTGTGTGTGTGTGTGTGTGTGTGTGTGTGTGTGTGGCGTTATTCCACGGCAAACTCCCTCTGTTGCCAGCATGTTAACTGGCCTTTCTCTTTGTGAGGTTTGACCGGCCGCTTGTCCTGTGTTGTTCATATCCTTCGCCTTCTAAAGTGGAAGCAGATGAGTCAAGCTGTTAAAGTAATACACAGTGAGTTACACAATGGAGCTAGTTTGACGGGCAAAGAACCAAATTAAAGCAAAAACACGCTGACAGGATATGTGCTTATTTCGCATTGTAACCTTAACATCTTGTATTGTGTGTGATTCCGGCATATTCCGCTATCTGTCAGTTGTAGTATTGTAAACTGGCTAACTGGGCTTTTAGCAATACCCCTGAAGAGCTGTGGTTCTAGTACAAGAGCATCAGTTATTTTGTTAAATATATGCCGACTAGCAGCTGGCAGCTGTCCTTTATCTAATTTTACTTTGTAAATGTTTCATTTCCTTGCTGACTGAAAGGAGAATCACTGTAGACTAAAGCACAGCAGGGCCATCTCTCCGGACAGCTATGAAGGACGAGCCCGCGTAGCTAAACCAGGCTATTTTTGTACCCGCCGAAGATTTGCTGGTGTCAGAATATTTAAATAGGTGAGCAAAATGTCAGTAGCATTAGAGCAATGAATATGGTGATGACTATGAGGGTACACTATGAGTGATTTTCTCAGACGAGAATGTCCACGTTTGATTTGATCCAGAAATCCCCCCTTTAAGCCAAAGAAGCCCTGATGAGATGGAGAACTGTGATGGCGCCAGTAAGGATGACAGAATTGATGATAACGATGAAGGTGGCAATTATTCTGATCAAATGGGATGAGATCTGACAGGAGGAGATGATATTCCGCGCGGTGCTCAGGTGTGCCATTTCTGAAATGCACCATTTGGCCATTTCCTCTCCCCACTAGTGTCCTTCTTCCAATATTTATAAGAGGGCAGGCTCTCAGAATACAGATAAGAAGCGGTGATATTTGCCCATCTAATTTTAAGACCCCACTTTGCATTGCTCCCCTTTCTCAGTCAATATTTTCACGAGAGAGGTTTTGCCTCCCAAAACAAAAGAGCTGACCTTTTTAGGTATGTTTGTTTGCATAGGAGTGCGTGCTGGCACATTCACAAAATCATTTTCGATTAGCATCTGTGTATAATAGTTTGTTTTCAAATGTCCCCTTGTTCTGTTCACACAAATGTAAAGGCCAGCATTCTGTGCCGCAGTTCTGTACTTTTATCGCACTTGCGAGAGACATTTAGGAGTCGTTGGCTTTTATAGACTGCATCTCTCTCATGTGTCTTTACCAGGTATCACTCCCATCCTTCTATCTGCTCCTCCTCCTCCTCCTCTCCATCCTCCTTCTCTTTAGCTTGATGCCATTTTCTCTTGTCATCTCGGTGCAACCACATTCATAAACACATTTGTATTCGCCTCCACCATGTGTTCCCCTGCCAAACATCCAATGAGTGCAATTTATTCCCATCAATAATTAACAGCAGGCTGCCTGTGTCTACCTGCCAAGGTGTCTCTGACACCCCCCTCTCTCTGATGGCGGAGCAGCGTTCCCCTTGTGGGGGTGGACGGACAACGCAGGTGCGCAATGAGGAAGGTGTGAATCGCAAAGACGATTGCTAACACCGCAATGAGACTAGCCTCATTCCCTCACTCCCTCCGCTACATTTTGTCACATGTATCTCCTCAAAACAAAGTAATAAACGAAGAGCAATAGGCTTTGAGCTCATTAAATAAAACGTCACAGTAATCACGTTGAGCCTTTTTTTCTTGCCTTGACGCCATTAAAACGCTTTTATTAAGGTGCCTTATTTTAAACACAGCTGGAAAGAAGACAGAAACAGAGGGAAATGCGAAGCGTCACTTGATTTCCTCTTCTTCCTCCAATGTAACACCCTGCTGTCTCTCTCCTCTTACTCCCCTTGGAATTTGAAATACCAAGGCAGCAGAGATGAAACATTGCCTTCCTTTTGTCTTGCCCTCCCCCGGGGATGGTGACAGCGAGAGGGAGGAGAGGAGCCATAATTAAGATACCTAAAGGACACTTCCCCCCCTGCGCCTCCCTTTCTGTCACTCACCTCTACCCAAGTCACAGATAAGAGCACTTAGCTCAGGTGTAGAGTATGTGTGTGTATTCCAGTGTACATCTGTGTGAGTTTGTGTGTGTATGTGTGTGAATACGTATATATGTTATATACATGCTTGTATTAATGTGAACGAATACAAAAGTTGGGAATGGTGTTTGTACCTTATCCACACCTTTGTTGTATCTGTTTGTGTGTTCGCATAATTTTGCGGTACGGTATTGTGACAGTATAATCACATTGTGTTATTAATATGACACATTTTTATTCTTGTTAGAAATGATGAATAATTTATTGGAGCTTTTGTAAGTGGCTTTTGTTTGTTTATTCATTGTGTTAGAAAGGATTTGATGAGAAGAGTGATGCCACTCTCTTTTCTAGGAGGTGATTAGCCCTGTTTAGCAAATTAGCTCTTTCTAGTCCTTATGCTAAGCTAAGATAATCGCTTCTCAGATTTAGCACCAAACTAGAGCCAAGACATTAGAGTGATATTGATGTTCTGATCTAACTTTGGCAAAAAGGAAAATAAGCGTATTTACAAACATGTGTGTGTGTGCGTGTGTGTGTGTGTGTGTGTGTGTGTGTGTTACATTTGAGTGTAGGCACGCATTTGCCTCCTCACACTGTGCACTCCATTCTCCATGTCACTTTGTTCAGGTAGCTTTCCGAACTGTGAAAACTGACACGTTGAGCAGACAGAATGATAACAGGTAAACGCTGCGTCGAGCTTCGCAGATGCAAACCTGTCAACCAGGCGCTCGCCTCACTCTCCGCAGGCTGCCATTTTCCCCTTGAGCCAATCAGACTGAATTATGGGAAGGGCGCCCTCGATTGTGGTGTCTGTGATGGAGAGGTAATTCCACCTGACAGCTGCTTGCTTTCAGACAACAGCCAGTCTTTATGGAAATCATCCCTCCTATTCTCGCTGCAGTCGGCTTCTGCTGATAACAGCCCGAATGAAAACAAAGCTGTCCTTTTTCTACTTTTTGTTTACTCTCCTCACATGGTTGACAGCCTAGAATCTGTAAAACAATTCTAACATGCTATATATTCTTACATTTAACGGCTGCTTTGATATTATACATGCTTTGGGCCAATATAAAAAATAAATAGTTGTATTTGGATCTGATCCGAAATCCTATGATAAACATAAAGATAAAGGAAGAACATAAAGAGCATCCTTCAAAGATAAAATTACTTCCTGGTTTCTATTTTTTTAATCCTGGCATAGACAACATGTTAATTCTTCCACTGGAATATTATTTGAAAATAAGTTTAGTTTTTAATAAACAACTGTCGAAATACAATTAGGGCTGGACGATATAGACAAAAGGAAACACCACATTCATTCTGATTAAATACCTTAATTAATATTGCAAGTATATTGTGTGCTTGAATATTCGTACACATATATTTACAAAGTAAGATTTTATAATATTCATCAGTTTTTTGGGATATAATGATGGCTTATTAACTAATATACCGGTTGAGACAGTTTGGTAAGTTAAGAAAATAACGTTACTTTAGGTTAACAGAGCATTTAAAATCATAAATAGACAACATTCATACTGTACCATATTTACGATATCCAAAATGACTATCTAGTCTCATATCCAGTATTGATTTATTATCTATATGTTGCCCAGCCATAACTACCATCGCCTCAACGTCTAACAATAAACTGTCTCTAAGTATCAAATTCTTCAATTATATTGATTTTGAACAGTTTCTTCCAATAACCAGATTTAAGCAGCAGGGTCGAAGCATGTGGGGCAGTGGGCCCTCCATCCCTACCCTCGTACCAATAACCAATATGTATAAGGTTCACAGGAGCTACAGGCAGACAGAAAGGCGCTGCTTGCCCTTCACTTCACATTACAGTGGGGAAATTATGCTAAAAGCATCATTAAAGTTCCTCCATGAAGTGAATCCCAAATGTTTATGATTACACAGTGCTCGGCCCATCAACCGGTAGTCACCAGTGGATGCTTCGGATGGTTTAACGGTGTGGAACGAACCGGAGTGTTCAGTCCTCTTGCCCCCTCTCATTTATTCCCTCTCCTTTTCCCTTACTCCTTCTCTTCTGCTGTCTTTTTCTTCCTCTCTCCTGGGGAAGATGTCCTGTCAATATTAAATTTATATTCATATGAAAAGCACGGATTCCCCCTCTGGGTGGTCTGCAGTCAGTCAGCAGTATTCTTATTATCCTTTAAAGGTGACTGCTCTGACGTCTTAGCTCCATTGACCCCGTGGTTGGGCTCAACGCAGGATGACCTCTGGGTGATAATCAAAGGGACGGCTGACAGTGCTGTTGCTGACAACTGCTAGCCTAGTGAACCTGCCTTCCCTCCCCAAGCATGGGTTAAGTCTGGAGAGAATATATGGGGGGGAA